CATAATCCATTCCATGAATAATTATTCACAAAATACGGACGAATTGCTCACAGAATCAATTCCTTGAGTAATTACGCATATAATTTAAATTTACTAACAAAATTACTCATTTAATCAAATTCCGTTAGCAATCCAAAAAAAAATTATAAATAAATACAAAATATAATAATTGAGAGGGAAACTTCTCATCGGTATGTCTCGAGCCCTTAATAACTATTTCCGCCAAGTAAAAAGAAGCATAATTTAATAGCCTTAATAAAACTATTAATCAAGAAAAATCATTCAAATATGGTAGTAAGAAGCGAGAATACAAGGAAAGAAAAATGTCAAAAAAAATGAAGAGTGAAAACGAGCATACACTTTTAGCAACACAAAACGATATAATCTCGTAAGGAATAGAAAGCTACCAATGAAGGTGTATGCAACGATGAAAACCTTAAATTCTAGGCGAAGTCTACGAAGTCGTTCAAAGATAACACTACAAAAAAACTGCATTTTACTCAAAAATATTGCTCATAAAATGGTGACTCACGCAATTACTTACATAATCGATTCCGTGAATAATTATTCACAAAATACGCACGAATTACTCACGGAATCAATTCCATGAGTAATTACTCAAATAATTTAAATTTACTAACGAAATTACTCACTTATTCAAATTCCATTAGTGATCCAAAAAAAAATTATAAATAAATACAAAACAAAATAATTGAAGGGGAAACTCCTCATTGCGATTTCCCGAGCCTTTAATAAATACTTCCACCAAGTAAAAAGAAACATAATTTAATAGCCTTAATAAAACTATTAATGCTGAAAAATCATTTAAATATAGCAGTAAGAAACGAGATGAAGAAGCAACTATAACAAAGAATACAAGGAAATAAAAATGAAAAAAAAAATGAAGAGTGATAAGGAGGATACACTTTTAGCAACACAAAACAATATAATCTCGTAAGGAATAGAAAGCTATCAATGGAGGTGTATGCAACGATGAAAACCTTAAATGCTAGTGGCAGTCTACGAACTCGTTCAGAGAGAACACTATAAAAGATACTGCATTTTACTCATGAAATGGGTACTGACGCAATAACTTACATAATCCATTCCATGAATAATTATTCAAAAAATATGGACGAATTGCTCACAGAATCAATTCCTTGAGTAATTACGCAAATAATTTAAATTTACTAACGAAATTACTCATTTAATCAAATTCCGTTAGCAATCCAAAAAAAAAATTATAAATAAATACAAAATATAATAATTGAGAGGGAAACTTCTCATCGGTATGTCTCGAGCCCTTAATAACTATTTCCGCCAAGTAAAAAGAAGCATAATTTAATAGCCTTAATAAAACTATTAATCAAGAAAAATCATTCAAATATGGTAGTAAGAAACGAGAATACAAGGAAAGAAAAATGTCAAAAAAAAATGAAGAGTGAAAACGAGCATACACTTTTAGCAACACAAAACGATATAATCTCGTAAGGAATAGAAAGCTACCAATGAAGGTGTATGCAACGATGAAAACCTTAAATTCTAGGCGAAGTCTACGAAGTCGTTCAGAGATAACACTACAAAAAAACTGCATTTTACTCAAAAATATTGCTCATAAAATGGTGACTCACGCAGTTACTTACATAATCGATTCCGTGAATAATTATTCACAAAATACGCACGAATTACTCACGGAATCAATTCCATGAGTAATTACTCAAATAATTTAAATTTACTAACGAAATTACTCACTTATTCAAATTCCATTAGTGATCCAAAAAAAAAATTATAAATAAATACAAAACAAAATAATTGAAGGGGAAACTCCTCATTGCGATTTCCCGAGCCTTTAATAAATACTTCCACCAAGTAAAAAGAAACATAATTTAATAGCCTTAATAAAACTATTAATGCTGAAAAATCATTTAAATATGGCAGTAAGAAACGAGATGAAGAAGCAACTATAACAAAGAATACAAGGAAATAAAAATGAAAAAAAAAAATGAAGAGTGATAAGGAGGATACACTTTTAGCAACACAAAACAATATAATCTCGTAAGAAATAGAAAGCTATCAATGGAGGTGTATGCAACGATGAAAACCTTAAATGCTAGTGGCAGTCTACGAACTCGTTCAGAGAGAACACTATAAAAGATACTGCATTTTACTCATGAAATGGGTACTCACGCAATAACATACATAATCGATTCCGTGAATAATTATTCACAAAATACGCATGAATTACTCACGGAATCAATTCCATGAGTAATTACATAAATAATGTTGGATTTGGGATCAAATATGTGTATCGAATATGTTGTTAAAGTCATTATTTTATTCAGTCTTATTATTTAAGTGATCTAATTAATATAATTAATTATTGACTGATAGGTTTGATTGTTATGGAATGAAAGTGCAGCTACCCGTATAATTTATATTTACTAACGAAATTACTCACTTAATCAAAATCCGTCATATCCAAAAAAAACATTAAAATAAATACAAAACAAAATAATTGAGAGGGAAACTCCTCATCGTGATGTCCCAAGCCCTTACTAACTACTTCCGCCAAGTAAAAAGAAACATAATTTAATAGTCTTAATAAAACTATTAATCGTGAAAATCATTCAAATATGGCAGTAAGAAATGAGATGAAGAAGCAACTATAACAAAGAATACAAGGAAAGAAAAATGAAAAAAAATGAAGAGTGATAAGGAGCATACACTTTTAGCAACACAAAACAATATAATCTCATAAGGACTGGAAAGCTACCAATGGAGGTGTATGCGAAGATGAAAACCTCAAATGCTAGTCGCAATCTATGAACACATTGAAAGAGAACACTACAAAAAAAACTGTATTTTACTCGTAAAAATTACTCATGAAATGGGTACTCACGCAATTACTTACATAATCGATTCCGTGAATAATTATTCACAAAATACGTACGAATTACTCACGAAATCAATTCCATGAGTAATTACACAAATAATTTAAATTTACTAACAAAATTACTCACTTGATCAAATTTCGTGAGCAATCCAAAAAAAAAATTATAAATAAATACAAAAAAAAAAATAATTGAGACAGAAACTCCTCATCGGGATGTCCCAAGCCCTTCATAACTACTTCCGCCAAGTAAAAAGAAACATAATATAATAGCCTTAATAAAACTATTAATCGTGAAAAATCATTCAAATATGGCAATAAGAGACGAGATGAAGAAGCAACTATAACAAAGAATACAAGCAAAGAAAAATGAAAAAAAAAATACGAAGAGTGATAAGGAGCATACACTTTTAGCAACACAGAACGATATAGTCTCGTAAGGACTAGAAAGCTACCAATGGAGGTGTATGCGAAGATGAAAACCTCAAGGCTATGAACTCGTTCAGATAACACACTTCAAAAAAACTGCATTTTACTCATGAAAATTACTCATGAAATGGTACTCTCGCAATTACTTAGATAATCGATTCCGTGAATAATTATTCACAAAATATGCATGAATTACTCACGGAGTCAATCCCATGAGTCATTACTCAAATAATTTAAATTTACTAACGAAATTACTCACTTAATCAAATTCCGTTAGCAATCCAAAACAAAAATTATAAATATATAGAAAACAAAATAATTGAGAGAGAAACTCCTCATCGGGATGTCTCGAGCCCTTAATAACTACTTCCGCCAAGTAAAAAGAAACATAATTAATAGCCTTAATAAAATTATTAATCATGAAAAATCATTCAACTATGGCAGTAAGAAACGAGATGAAGAAGCAACTATAACAAAGAATACAAGGAAAGAAAAATGACAAAAAAAAAAACAAAGAGTAATAAGGAGCATACACTTTTAGCAACACAAAACTATATAATCTCGTAAGGACTAGAAAGTTACCAATGGAGGTGTATGCGAAGATAAAAACCTTAAATGCTAGTCAGAGACTATGAACTCGTTCAGAGAGAACACTATAAAAAAAAATTGCATTTTACTCATGAAATGGGTACGCAATTACTTACATAATCGATTCCGTGAATAATTATTCACAAAATACGCATGAATTTCTCACGGAATCAATTCCATGAGTAATTACTCAAATAATTTAAATTTACTAACAAAATTACTCACTTAGTCAAATTCCGTTAGCAATCCAAAAAAAATTATAAATAAATACAAAAAAAATAATTGAGACAGAAACTCCTCATCGGGATGTCCCGAGCCCTTCATAACTACTTCCGCCAAGTAAAAAGAAACATAATTTAATAGCCTTAATAAAACTATTAATTGTGAAAAATCATTCAAATATAACAGTAAGAAACGAGATGAAGAAGCAACTATAACAAAGAATACAAGGAAAGAAAAATGAAAAAAAAAATACGAAGAGTGATAAGGAGCATACACTTTTAGCAACACAGAACGATATAGTTTCGTAAGGACTAGAAAGCTACCAATGGAGGTGTATGCGAAGATGAAAACCTCAAAGGCTTAGTCGCAGGCTATGAACTCGCACTATAAAAAAAATTGCATTTTATTCGTGAAAATTACTCATAAAATGGATACTCACGCAATTACTTACATAATTGATTGCATGAATAATTATTCACAAAATTCACACGAATTACTCCAAACACGATTTCAATCAAGTTCAACAAATACACGATTTTATTTGGACTTGTTTAATTTATGTATTTTTTCAAAAATTCTTTTTTTTTTTCTATTAAAAATTAATTAAAATTCTTTTTAACTTTTTGTTACCATATGAATATTAGTTGTAATGGTAAAATATTCATGACAAAAAATTTTAAAGCTTGACCATAAAATATACTCTTTTCTACGACAAATTTCTTAACTAATAATATCATTTGTCAAGAAGAAATTATTATAGTTACAAAATCGCTCCAAAAAATGGACAAATATGAATTCAATCCCAAACCCAATCCGAACAAATGGAAACCAACAAAACACAATTCTAACACAATATAACATTTGGGAAACAATATATAGCTCAATTTGGATGCGATCATACCAACTCTAATCCACCGGATCCCATCTGAACAATATGGCTCAATTCCTATTCCAACATAATAACCAAGCAATGCATAACAAGTGACCATGTATACCAAAAAAGTACTCCATTATTTAGAAAGCACGAGAGGACTAATAGGAGATTTTCATGATCGGATCTTGTATGAAAATTCTCAATTATTGTAAGCATGCAACATCAGGTTTCCAACATTAAAACCCTGGAGAAGAATCTTCCGCTATTGTTCCATCCTCCATTGCACTATCCATATCCTCTCTGGCATGCCCGGTTGGTTCTGAGGGACCATCTCCTTCGCTCGGGTGACTTACAAGCACAACAGGCTTGCAGTGTTTCCCCTTCAGGACTCCAACCCGCTTTCTCTTATTGATTTTCTCCAACCCTAACGCATCAGATGGAACAACATTAAATTGAAGAAGATTTGCGGCCATATCTATGGAATGCAATTTGAATGAACTTTTTCTCCAATGTAATGTAGTCAATTCAAAACTAGTAAATATGACATCATATGGAAAGAAAAATAAAATAAAATTGTAAGCCAAATATAGCGCAATGTACCGAACACCCTTGAGGTAGCAAACAAAAGAATTTTGCATGCTTAAATAAATTAAGTGACATTTTTGTAAGAGAGAAGACAAACTCAGTAGATAGTGTACCATAAGGCATCTTTATATCATCAGGGTTCGCTCTCGTGGAGGAGGCATTGGCACCAGCAGATGGGGCGCCTGCGTCGAGATTTTTAGAACGATGTTTATTTCTTATAATGGGTTCCTTTCCTTTTCTTTTACCTGCATCTTAATAACAAAAACAATAACAAATTATATTTCCACCAAGTCTGAATAATTGAGGATAATAAATCGCACGCAAGAAAGCTATAACTAAGTTTTGTGTTTAGATGACTGTTATTTTTTTGTGGATTTAATGCTTTCTCTTCTTGATATTCTTCAACCCTATCGCATCAGATGGAACAACATTAAATTGAAGAAATATTTGCAGCCATATCTATAAAATGCAATTTGAATGAACTATTTCTCCAATGTAATGTAGTCAATTCAAAACTAGTAAATATGACATCATATGGAAAGAAGAATGAAATAAAATTGTTAGCCAAATATAGCTCAATGTGCCAAACACCCTTGAGGTAGCAAACAAAAGAATTTTGCATGCTTAAATAAATTAAATGACATTTATGTAAGAGAGAAGAAAAACTCCACAGATTGTGTACCAGAAGGCATCTTTATATTATCAGGGTTCGCTCTTGTGGGGGAGGCATTGACACTAGCAGATGGGGCCCCTGTGTCGAGATTTTTAGAACAATGTTTATTTCTTATAATGGGCTCTTTTCCTTTTCTTTTACCTGCATTTTAATAGCACAAACAATAACAAATTATATTTGATTTAATGCTAGAAGGAGCATAATTTCCACCAAGTCTTAATAATTGAGGATAATAAAGCTCACGCAAGAAAGCTATAACTAAGATTTGTGTTTAGATGATTGTTATTTCTTTGTGGATTTAATGCTTTCTCTTCTTGATATTCTTCAACCCTACCACATCAGATGGAACAACATTAAATTGAAGAGAGATTTGCAGCCATATCTATGGAATGCAATTTGAATGAACTTTTTCTCCAATGTAATGTAGTCAATTCAAAACTAGTAAATATGACATCATATGGAAAGAAAAATGAAATAAAATCGTAAGCCAAATATAGTGCAATGTGCCGAACACTCCTGAGGTAGCACACAAAAGAATTTTGCATGCTTAGATAAATTAAATGACATTTATGTAATTGATAAGACAAACTCAGTAGATAGTGTACCATAAGGCATCTTTATATTATCAGGGTTCGCTGTGGTGGAGGAGGCATTGGCATCATCAGATGAGGCCCCTGCGTCGAGAGTTTTAGAATGATGTTTATTTCTTATAATAGGCTCTTTTCCTTTTCTTTTACCTGCATTTTAGTAACACAAACAATAACAAATTATATTTGATTTAATGTATCCAAAGCATACAACAAACATCATATGAAAATTTAGAAGGAGCATAATTTCCATTAAGTCTGAATAATTAAGGATGATAAAGCGCACAAGAAAGCTATAACTAAGTTTTGTGTTTAGATGACAGCTACTTCTTTTTGGATTGTTTTTGAATTAGCAATTCTGAAAATCAACCAATGCTACTCAAGAGTACACACAACAATAAAAATTAGGCTATTCTTAACTATAACAACAAAATAGATGTAAACACAATACAGGCAAGTAGATCCTTAAGCATTCATGTAAAGTTTGAAGAACATCTGCCTATAGAAGTACAATAACAACTTAAACTAGAATACAATTAGATATATCTTCAACAATAGAAAATACAGGAAACAAGAGCAGGGGTGGGGGTGCAAGTTATCTCACCACACTGAATTTTCGAAACAGGGTCTCTATTTCCTTCAGATTTCCCCAAAGATTGTGTTTGGTGAGGTAACTCCATTTCAGAAAGCCTCTGAACATCCACATGTTGGCTCCCATGATTTTTCACCCGAGGCATTTCATAGTTAAACTTAGTTCTTTCACACGCACTCCGATCATATATCGCAACATAAAAATGACTGCCTTTTATGTAGCTAAATGCCAAGGCACATGCTTCACCAAGATCATGGTCTCTATAAAAATTGTTCCAACCCTTTACAACTGATAGTACATTTCCAGCATACGAAAAAGTCACAGTCCATTTCTCCCTGCATATATCCTCAAATTCAATCTCTTGACCCAACAAGTGATCCAGTATTGGAGCAATTGCAGATGGAATGTTCTGCAAGAATCATAATTTGCACCGAGGCATGCTTAAAAAAAAAAATGTAGAGTTTCTACTAGACATCACAAAAATTAATCATTTAGTACTCAACAAGTTGGTGAATGGTAAGAGAGTACTTTTTTAGTAGGATCAATTGCTTAAGAGAGTACCAACCAGTGCTTGAGAGAAGTCAGGAGTCGGCACTACAATAAAGCGGATTACTTCAGATGAATCTGATTGTATACTATGTGGTACGGAGAACTCATTATGCGCTTTGCTGCTACAGGCCATCTTTGGTTACCGTATCTTAATCTGAAAGTTAAATAGATTCTCTTAAAATTCATGGAAGAAAAAGTTAGGACCAATGAGTACAAAGACATTGAAGAATGCAGAAAGAGCGAACAAATTAAAAACACTTGATATTATTCTTGCTTCTATGCTACTACAATAATATTTAAATCTTATGCTCTTTTAAGTGTTGAGCTTTACATCAGCAATATACCTATTGTAAAATTTGCATGACTTGAAAGAACCTCTTTACCAAGATGTCTAAGCCCGTAATAACTACTTCCACCAACTAGAAATAGACATAGTTTCATAGTTCATTGAAACTCTAAAGTACCCAAGGCATGGGACAGGACATATAACTGTCAATAGCACTATATTCATAATCCATAAGTGCGATATTATTTCAAGAAACAAACCATTCAAAGTAAACCCATCACCTTTTGAGAAATCAAAAAATATTTCCGAGATGAAGAAAGAAAGAAAAGAATAATTTAGATATATTTATAGATCTGCCCAATCTACCGTAAAATCACAATATCCTAACAACAACACTCGCTACATCAATTTAAGAAATTCCACTTAGATCTATACAAAAGCATGGATCTAGAAACAAAGGATATATTCAGACAAAGAAGGCAATAAAATCAAACAATAGATCGAGAAAAATTTATTCAAATATGCGGGGGCAAAACAATTTAGCAGCACAAAGCGATATAGTCCAGAGAGACTAGAAACATACCTATAGAGGTAAATGCGACGACGAAAACCTTCAATTCTAGTCGCAATTTTACGAATTCGTTAAGAGAAAATGCGGTATTATAAATAGCCTCCGGATTCTTATTAGGGTTTAAGTTCTCAAATAAAAAGCAGAGGGTGGCAAAAATGCATTGTATAAATGCAAATCGTTAGAAAGCGCAGACACGCCTTTAAAAGCACAAAAAAGTAGGTAAAAATATTAGACATCTATTAAACAACGTCTGTGTCTAATTAATAGCATAAATGATGTGTCGAGGTATAATATTTTGGCATAATCCTAGACAATTCTGATTCCATTACACAAATTGAACATACCTTACATAATATAAACTGACAAATGCCATAAATTTCACAAAACAATGAGAATCACAAAATGTGAAACTCTATATTCTTAAGCCGAAAATAGCAAACAACACATAAATGAAATTTAAGTGCCAAATTCCAACCATACATAGGCCTATATATACACATTGTGTAAATTACAAAAGCAAGAACCTCGTATAACGTAGACAATTGATGTCCCCTAATTGCCTTCTTTTTCCACACACACTACGTTTTTGCTACACTTGCCCTTAATGTTTTTGCAATGTTTTAGCAATTGTTGAACATGATAACGAGATACGAGTTAAGTTTCTTGGACATGGGTGATGCCAACAAGATTATAGCTGAAAATGCGAATGCATGGTCAACTGTATCCAAAATACAAAACCAATCAATTTAATTTAAAGCCAAGAAAATGCAAAGATGAAAAATGAACAAACTCCAAACACAACACACCTGGTAATATTGATCTTGATTTTTTCACTTTTTCTTAAAGGGAACTATAATTGGAAGCACTGAACATGTTTTACTAACAGTTTTGCAGAGTTCTTAACCAATCTTATGCTTGAATGTGCCAAAATGCCTAGTAACAACTCGTGTTTACTTTTCTGTTAGGATTTTATATTGGTAATTAGTTAAAAATTTTACAAATTGTTGAAAATTTAATTAAATTTGTATTTTTCAAAACCGATTAATGTAATGTTCTAAGAAAAATTCAATTGATTGAATTATAATAAATTGGGCTTTGATATTAAATAAAGTCATTTATATTTAACTTGATATTAGTGTTTGGAATGAAAAGCCAAGCATGTGTTTGTGCCACTCGCCATCCAATAGGCTAGACTTCGAATTGAACTGAATTAGAATTGACTTGTTTATAGGGTGTAACACCCCGGCCTGGAATTGACGCAAGCTGGTGTGTCAGGATCGTAGACTAACTTTATAAGTCACACGAGTACTTCCAGTGCACTTTGTCCTCACTCATATGCACCCTATGAGACTTTTTAGGAGGTCACCTTATCCAGAAATTTCCCTAGAGCAAGCACAAATAAATCTAGAGTTCTTTCAATTGGTCTCCCAAAAAAGAAATGTACATATTTTTTAGATGAAGAGTCCAATTAATTAAATCGATCCACTTAAACTCTACTCATATCAACTCAAAATGCGGGGGAATCATATACTTTTCTACTTAAGAATGCAACGTCTATATTGCTTTCCAAGGATCCATAAACCGCTACCTCTCAATAGACCGGTCATCGACTATGGGCGATTGTCGGTTGGCTTCTATATTAACTAAACACCCCAAAACTAATATCAACTATAACATTCCGGACCACAAGCCACGCAAGCCAGGTTTTTCGGGATCATAGATAGATTCTACAAGTCAATACAAATTTTTCCAACGTATTTTGTCCCCATTCACACGCACCCAAAGAAACTTCACAAGGGTTACCAATCCTAAAATTTTTCTAGAGCAAGCACACTTAACTCTAGAGTTCTTTTAAGTGGACTCTCGAAAAGGAATAAGAATATTATTGACATCAGTAGTCTAATCAGTTAATGTAAATTATACTTATTTCTACTCAACTAACTTTAGAGTTCTTTTGAGTGGAGTCCCAAAAAGCAATGTTAATATTGTTAACATCAGTAGTCTAATTGATCCACTTAAATTCTATGATAGGCGTTTGTCACACGTTGCAAAATTTAAATAAAATAAACCGATTTCCACAATAAAAATAACGTAATATAGATGAAGTAGGGTCGTCTCCTCAGGGAATCAAAAAGATTTTATTCTCGGTTGTTTGATATATAGATATAATAGAAGAGGGGATTTGGAAATTGAAAATAAAAATAACAAACTAAAAATCTACAGCTAATAAATAAATTCAATGAAAAAAATTCCAGTTTAGGAATGAAATTGACAAATTAGATAGTGGATTTGATCATCGATAAATATTTTATTTAATTGGTTTCTAAATAAATTATTTATAGTTACCGACACGCGCCTAATAATCAACTCTTCCTTGCTTATTCAACATTCAAGGTACGCCCGTTAACTGCTTCCTAATTAGATTAGAACCCTAATAACGCCACAAAGAATTTACTAGTATAACTGCCTTGCAAATTGTTTGAAATTGATTCCATGATTTTCCAATGGTGTCTGCCACTAGTTGCTACTTGAACCAAATTAAAACGCAATTAGGGACGCCTAATTTAGTCTAACATTCAATCTTTAATCTAATTGAAATGCCTGGCCATAATACCCAACTAAATCAAAGATCATTAAACATTAAAATCAAAAATCATAAAAATACTTAGGAACCAATAATTAATATAAAATCAAAACTAAGTCTAATCTCTCAAATTCATACCAAGTTGTTTCTTTCACTCCTAAACTAAGAAAGTAATCAACTCGCTAGTCACGGGAAGAAGAACAAAGATAACAAAAATAAACATCGTCTGAGATTGATCGGACTGACGGGGAAGAACTCGAAATCTCCTTGGAAAAATCTCTCCTTCTTGCTATTGCGCGATTTCTCTCCGGGATTGTTCTGCATTGTGTTCTCCTTTCTGCCTAGGAAGTGGTGCCTCCCCTTTGTTCTTTCTTTTATTTTTGCCCTAATTTTGTAACAAAATAGTTTTTGGGCCTGTTAATTAGCTTCTCTAATCATTGGGCCTTTTTGCTCTTTTTTACCTTCAATTCTACCAATTTTATTATTTTCCTCTTCAAAGACATAAATAAACAATATATACTCAAATTAGGTAAAACATATTAAAATCAACCAAATATCGCATATAATATAAACATTTAAATGCATATGATTTTTAACTATTAAATCTCCCCACACCTCGATCATGCTTGCCCTCAAGCATAGATTCGAAACAACCAAAGGAAATCGCATGCGACTCAATATGTCAAAAGAATCCAACACAACCAAGTCAATCGGAAATTCAACACATCAAGTGAAGTCAACCTCACAGGATAGAGTATATGCACATATGCTCTTTGAAAGAAATAAGTATGTGTAAGTGGCTAATGCTCAAGTAGTGTTACAAAAGACTATCCTATAGGTTTGAATGACAATCAAATTTCCCTTGCTTAAGATATTCGAATTTAACATAAAGAATCAAAGAGACTTTTCATAAAGGTTGTAACGGAGCTAATGATGAGGGGTAGAAAAAGGATATACAAAGGCTAAAATATATATATATATATAAAAAAAAAAAAAAAAAAAAAAAAAAAAAAAAACACGATAAGAACACGATGCTAGCACATATAAAGCAATTCGGCATAAACAATGAAACTCTTGCTCTATTCACTACCCATACTTTAATAACATAATTATATCAATAATATTTCATCAAGACTATTTTTTTTCTTTTTTTTGGGCCCTTTTTTCTGGCCCTTTTTTTAACTTTTTTTCTTTTTTTTTTTGTTTTGGTTTATATATATACATATATATATATATATATATACCTTCACTACCCGTTCCCATTACAGCAATCACTCCTGAAGACATTTATTTATGCCCAAATTTCATATCTAATTGGTTCCGAACAAATAAGTGCATCGCAACATGAACTTAAAGTATTTCTCTCTAACATAGGGTTCAAATCGAAGAATGTTTAATTCAAAAAAAAAGTATGGGGCTAAAAGACAGTTTAACATAGAAGAAAAATAGGTTAAAAAGGCTCAAAAGGGCTAAGTATCGGGAAATATATTGTGTTGGGCGATAAAGAAAGGCTTAATTGGGTTACCTAATGCCCTTATCATTTTCAAAAAGTAAGACTCGATAGTTGCAAGTTCAACATGCATAATCACTTAAGTTTTAGGTCATCTAATTGAGCACTACAAATCACACAAAAGGATTTCCAAAAGCTTGAATATTATGTAGCTTATTTTCTAAGGTAAGCTTTTTGGAATATAGGGTCAAATTTTCGCAGAGTTCAAAAGTCAACCTAGCTAACATATTTCAAATCCAATATCATCAATCATGTCAAACTAACCTATCACACAAACCACCTTTTGACTCATTTCAAACTAATCTCAAACACATGCAAAAGGATAGCAAATTAGGCATAAATCAAAAAAATCGCCCAAAATTTTACATCACTCTCCCCTCACCTAAGTCATGCATTGTCCCTAGTGCAATAGAAAAATAAAAAGAAAGGATTACGATGCTTCCCTGGAATCTGTAGGGGTGGTGCGACTGCACGTTTTTGCTTGCCTTGCCAATGCCTTTGCATTTGGTCATCGCCACTTTTAGGAGGCTTAAAGTTTCTCATAAGTCCTGCAAAAATAAACTAGCCAAGTGCAAAGTATCCCAAAAATGAGTGATATGTGATCTAACTAGTTAATGCCTTCTTAATTCACAACTAACAAGGATTTGAAGAGCAGAGTGATTGCACTTACTGCCAGGATCATTTAGCAAACCAAAGAATAAAACAATTGAAATGACCAATGGCAGAAGATCCTTTAAATCCTTAGGTTCAAAAAATTGAGTTCAAAATGCAGTTCAGAACACTAAAGACAATTAAGCCAAGGCATAATATCTCAAGCAAACTAGAAACAAATCACTAGCACTGCAGATAACAATTGACATAAAATTCACAGAAAATTTCCAGTTCCTGGAATTCAATACATTCAATTTCAATTCGCAATCCAGAATGTCAATACCCCAAATCCAGTGCAATGTATTAAAAATTTTGAATTGCTGTCGAACAAATCAGAACCAAAATGCCAACGTGTCACTATCACTCTCTGCAAAGAAAGATTGACATCAAATTCACGGCAATTTCATAGTAGCTGGAGTTCAAAGATTGGCAATTTCAAAACAACAATCGCATATCTCAACATATTATCCCACAAAAACGTGAAACTATTAGAAAATAGGGATGCATAGATAGTACCCAATTGAACATTGAAATCGACAAAGCATGGGGAGGAGCGGCGGCGGAGCAGTGGTCGCAGGCGGCGACTGACGGGGGAAGAAGAAGAGGTGGTGCAGGCGGCATCGGTCTGGCCTCGATCGTCGGCGGCAGTTCGGTCGAAACGGCGGTCTGGGTGTAGGGCGGTCGATGCCAATGATGCGCGGTGGGTGGTTGCGGAAGGAAGAAGAAGAAGAAAGATAAGAAGCCGGCGGGCGGCGGCTTCGTGTTTTGCGGCGGACAGTGGCTGGAAGAATGAAGAAGAAAACGAGGCGATCTACGAAAGATGGTTCGGTGCAGTTGGTTTTGGTTTTGTGTTATTGTATTTAAATTCAAAATATAATTATTATAATTTTATAATTTTTTCATAAAGTATTTCAATTAGAATTATAAAACACTAGAGGTGTGTTTGTTTGGGGATTGGATTTTGATTTCACTATTCAATTTATTTTTTTCTCTCAAAAATATTAATCAAACATCTCTTTTTCATTTTTTATATTATACTCAAAAATAATTTTATATTCAAAATATCACATCAACACCTATTTATATTATATTATACAACTATTCAAATTCAAATTTTTTACTATTCAAATCCCTAACTCAAAATTCAAATCCCCAAACAAACACACTTTAAGTATTTTTTGTAATTTTTTTTAATTTTTATTAAATTTTGATATAATAATTAAAATTATATAATTTCTCAAAAAATATATATATCTAAACCCACAAGTTTTGTTTCAATTAGACATTCCTTAATCAAATTTCAAGTTTCTTTATCCTGAAAGTGGATATTAAACTAAATCAAATCATTTAAATTGAATTACATGAGTAGCTACGTCAAATAATCACGAAAAATTAATTATAATTTTTTCTGCAAATATTACCTACGAAATGGTCAAAACAAGAAATTGTGACATAAATTTGTCACAAAATTGCTCTCCACAACTTTTAATTGTCACTATTTAAATTCGCCAATAAATTTTTGCAATCATCAACTTTTTTTCCAGTGTCCATTGGCAGATACTGTTTAGATTCTATAAATATACATTATAATCATTATAAAAAACTCATTGACACATCTCAATCAAATTTATATTTTCTTTCCTGCAATTTATTTAATTTTTTTGCACTTCTTCTTCTCCAATTTCTATATTATAAATGTTTGGACATTTCATTTGGTACGAATTAAAAATTTAATTACATTAAATCCTCCAAAAAAGAAAAAAGAAATTATTGGTTGTTGAAAATTTTTAATCCATAGTAACAATTGTATTGTTCTTTGTATATTGTAATTCATCATTATCTATTCCATTGATTTACTAGTAAATTGAAAGGTAGTTATCTCAAATTCAAATTCAAAATTTGTGTTAGTATTGTAAGTTATGTCTATTGATGTTGTAAAATTATGTCCATTGGTCTAGAAGGATATATTGGATTCATATACTGGTCTTATGATATATTACTAAAGCAGATTTGGTCAAAAACAAGTTGATGCCTTTTGCGCATAAATTGTACTATTTTTGTCCGTATGTAAGGGTTACATTTATATTTTGCGTCATTGTACTTAACATTAAAAATATTTTTATATTTGTATAATTTTTTTTACAAATGCTCTTCTATTAGTAGATACTAATTGAAGTATTTTTATATTTTTTTTTTCTTAATTTATACTATATTTTAATATAATAGTTAAAATTCAGCGATCAATACGCAAAAAGTAAATAAAACTCTTAGAGCGGCGCCGAGGTAGTATTTCCTGGTCATATAGTTAATTGAATTTTTTTACAACACCATTCCTTAAAATTATGAGGAGATACCAAGCATGGGAAGACCAGACAAGATTAAGTCATCATTAATGGACTATGAGTACAGTGAACAGTAATAAGTGTTGAATGTAATGTTTATTAATTAAAGGGAAACTCACAAACAGCAGAATAAAAGAAAAAACGACTAAAAACAAAGGGAAACAATAAGGAAATAAGAAAATTAACAAATGGCAAATGAAAGATAGACTATGAGTGTGAGCAAACCCTAATTTATTCCATGTTGTCGTGCACGTAGTCCAGCGGACTTGGTTCGACGCAAGCGAGCTCGTGAAGCTCTTCAATGGCGTCGAAGAAGGGCATGTATGTCTCACCAAGAGTCACCAAGGCTTCGATTCCTTGCCCGTTTCTGGTGTCCATTAATCCAATAATGTTTATGTACTTTGAAGTCCTACTTCCATGGAAATATGTTGTCATCCAAAGGGGCTTTCCCCATCCAAAGTCAGCCTCGTATCCGCCAAATCGACACCAGCTCGAGATTGTCAGAAGATCGGCTCCATTTGGGACTTCTGCAAACAGCGACTGCATCTTCGCATCTAAGCCCCGGAGCCCTCCATCGCCTTGTATTCTTGTAATATAATCGCCATTACATTTTCTAATGGCATCCCTAAATTTTCTTGCTAGGTCTGTGTGTTCTCCTGTGGGTCGATTCATGCTGGATTCTGTTTCAATGGAAATGAAGTTCCCGAAACAATCTGATGGGAATGGAGGCTGGGCTCGTCCTCTCAAGTTGGTGGCGATGGCTAGGGCTGAAGCTGATTTGCCATTTTTTAAGGATGCTGCCATGAAACACTTCCAGAGAAATGCTGAGACAGCCTCCACCCTGGTAGGGTTTTTCAGACCTGATTTGTCCTTAAGGGAAGAAATAGCAATGGAGTCGAAAACGTATCTCTTAGTTTCCCATTTCCCCTCATTCAAAATGCGTTGCGACACGCGGTTCTTGTCGAGCAATTCCTCCTTATGTGGGAATAGAAATTGGGAGATGTAATTAGGACAAGCTCCTCCTCGACTTCCCCGATTCGCAGTTCCCCAGGCTTTCAAGAAATTCACCATGGCTTGAGCATCGACAAGCTTGTGCCAGAAGAGGGCGCTGATGGCGATGCTCCCGCAGTCGAAATAGCTTACTTTAATTTGCAGAGTCAGACATTTCGAGTCGATTTCAGAATGCCAGGCGACTTTTGCAGGTAAGAGCTGATCGGGCAAATCCTTGTCAGGGTTTTGAAGAAGATCGGACAACCGATGGCCGGAATATCTTACAACGGTGAAATGAACTCCGGCGTCGTTGCAGTCGATGGACTGGTTGGATTGGTTAGCTCTTCCGGCGAAAGGGTAGAATCGGGTTAGAATGGATGAAAGGGAAAGCTTCAGCTGCTGAGTGACGTGTGAGAAGGCATCGTCGAGGTGATTGACAATGGTGTCTGAACAAGGAGGGAAGTAGAGGACAATGGGGATGAGAAATGGTTCCATGATCTGGTCGAGCATTGAGAGTTTGTAGGTCCTGAGGTGTGCCGGCGTCGGAGAAGATGGCTTTATGAATTCGCTCAGAATGACCTTGCACTCCATTTTTAAGAGAAGTTGTAAATTATGGAGCAAATTAATTCAAGGAAGAAAGAAGAATGAATGTGGTGTTTTGTGGGTTGGGTTGCAGTATTTGTGTTTGGCATTTATAGAATGAGAATACTCTCCAAGACATAAGGACGTGTTTGGATATGTCTTTTGGTTTAAATTTGAATTTATTTTTTATTTTATTTGAGTTTAGTTTATACTTACTCGTTTTCAATTCAAAATACTACTTTGGCCAGGCTCTAAGTATCTCATTTATTCTTTGTGTGTTCATTTTTTAATATTAATTATTATATCAAAATATAGTACGAATTAATAGAAGAACATTTGTAAAAAAAAAATTATACAAATATAAGTATATTTTTAATGTTAAGTATAATAACATAAAGAATAAATATGACCCTTGGAGGCAGACGGATGAAGTATTTTTTTATCATTTTCATCTGTGTCACTCAACAAAATATCTTTTTTTTCGTTTTTAGTAAAAGTAATCATACGCTAATACCAAAATACATTTAAATTTTATTTAAATTACAAATATATCATTACATGTATAATTATTTTTGATATAAAATCAAATGACAAATATATCAAAAAAAATTTTACACACTTCTACTGACCAATAGAATACTATTATTTCTTACAAAACTCTATCAGCCCATGTCAAATGAAAGGGAGAGAGAGAGTATAATATTTTGATTTGATTATATTTTTGATGTATTGTAAAAAAAAAATGAATATTTAAAATTAAAGTTTTACCATATTACATCGTATATTTATTTATTTTTTTAATCAATCAAAAGAATTAGAATACTTTTAAAACTTTTGAAACACATTTTTTAATATTTTATTAATATAATATTTTAAATAAAAAAATAAATATAAATATTACTTGCTCTGCCTAAGAGACATTAATATGATACTGATAATGTGTATAGAATATTGATTAAAAGTCATTTTTGCTCTATTAATTTTGTGTTTAATTTATTTAAAAAGAAAAGTTAATGACATTTGTATAATAAATAACGATGAAAATATAATACAGTTTTACGATGATATAATAATTTATGATAACGAGATTATTAAATTTTGAATAGTCAAAAATAGTGGATTTAAAATCATTGATTTGGGAGAAATGTATAGTTTGTTTGTCCAACAATTTTTTTTATAAGATTCACAATATATATATATATGATATATATATTCTATTTTTTTATAGAAAAATAATACTCCTTTCGTCCCTTAATAATATATATTTTTTTCTTGTAAGTGTATCATCTACTTAACATTATAAATACCCTTCAAATTGAAAATATATTACACAAATATTATTACATTTATATCATATATTACTAATAAGGTTAGTTTAATCTTTTTACTTGTATTTCTACTGCATTTCAATATAATATTAATATTTATAAACCTTTTGTGCAAAAAGTAAAAAGATAAATAAATATGAGACGGAAAAAGTATACGACATAGAATATTATTTATTTATTCTCAATTTAATTTTTTCTATCTCACATAAAAAAATACTTCAAACTAAAATATTTTCTTCCTCCACTTACAATGTTTACATATTTCTATTTTGGGACGTCTAATTACAAAGTTAATATTTCATTAAATACTCTACCTTTTTTCACAAATACCCTTATTTTACATCACATCATTACTTTTACACAAAAAAGTAAGGGCAAAAATATTATTACACTACTTTTAACTACTCACTGTAATTAAATTACTATTATTTTTTAATACCGCCCCAAAAATAAAAATAAATATTGTAAGTGAACGGAGTAATAAATAACAAACCCAAAGAATAGAATTAAAAATATTATAATCAGAAGAAATAGTTTGTTTGGTTGTTTTTGTAAACTCTTATTTTCACTTTTCACCTACATTAATTTCTAAGAGATAACACATTTATTTTGCATTTCATATTATATTCAAAAATTAGTTTGCATTCACAGCAGTATTCCCTTCCTCCCAATACAATAATCTATTATTTATAATTTTTGTTCGTCCCAAAACAATAGTCTTATTTTCATAAATCTACTTTTTACACTAATACACTCGTAAGGGCAAAAAAGTCTATCCATGCTTTTTATTAACTACCAATATAATATCAATATTCCTTAAATTCCGGGCACAACCCAATTAGGATTATATTAATGGGAAGGAGGGAGTGTATAAAATGATTATTTGAAATACATCACACAATCATTTCAATTAAATTATATTATTTTGCTTGATATATAATAAGAACAAAACTTATCATTGATCCAGTAATATTTCCCTTTCTGGCGTTTTGTACTTGTGGATTCTTGAACCAAGAAATTAGTACTACATAAAAATATATATAAATAAAGAAATAAATATATATAGTACAACTGAATACACAGTATCATAATGATAACCATGATATGCGGTTTTCTACTGCAACGAGGGATTATAAAATAAGATACGAATAAGGCTATGATTTCTACATCATTTCTTTTATTATTATTATTTATTTATTTATTTATTTATTTATTTATTTATTTATTATTATTATTATTATTATTATTATTATTATTATTTGTACATCTGAAATGCTATTAACTGAATGTTGGATTACAAAATTTGATGAAAAGCATGAAGTTAAGGGTAAGACTTTTTTGGCATGTACTGAATATTATGCAAGTGTTTAATCGGACTATAATATTTCCTCCGTCTCACTCCAAAATGTCGTTTTAGATTTTATAGTATATTAAAAATAATATTATTTTATTAATTAGTAAAAGTGTACCGAGGTTTTGATATTTTTATTTGACTTTAAGTATAAATTATTTGTATGTGTAATAATGTATTTGTAATTTAAGTAAAAAATTATGTTTTTTGTTATTAGAGTACGAATATATTTACTAAAATAGTTTGCTGCTTTTGTGTGAGACGAACAAAAATGATAAAAAGATGTACTTTGAATTGGAAGTGAGAGTATGAGATTCTGTTGCTTGTGACTCTTTCGTCCGGGTGTGTTTGTTTGGAGTTTTGGATTTTGAGTTGATATTTGAATTAAATTAGAATAATTATATAATGTGATATAAATATACATAATGTGATGTTGTGAATGTAAAATTAATTTTTAGTATAATATAAAAGATAAAAAATAAGTATTTTATTTGATGTTTTTGAAAGAAATATATGTAATGAATAGTAAAAAATCCAATAAAGTTTGCCAAATGAGCACAGAGCACACCCTTAGTTGAATATATATATTACTCACTCCGTCCCAAACACTCTGCAACATTTTATTTTTGGTATATCCCAAACACCCTGCAATATTTTCAAAATATGAAATAATTAATTATACTTAATCTCTACCCCAAACCTTATCCCTTCACATCATCCAAATAAAAAAATAAAATATATATTTTTCTCTTCATCACATCACCTAATTTCTAAATTATCCTACTTAATACTAAGCACTTAAAAACCCATGCCAAAAGCAAATGTTGCACCTTGTTTGGGACGGAGGGAGTACAATACCAAATATTTTATATAATATTTGTATTTTAATTATATTTTTACATATTCCATCCGTCCAAACAATAAGTATACATTTACTTTTGGTGCGGGGTTAAGAAATAATAGTATTTTAATTATAATAAGCAGGTAAAAGTAGTGTAATGACATTTTTTTCCTTATTTTTTTTTGTATAAAAGTAATGATGTAATGTAAAGTAAGGATATTTGTGGAAAAAAAATTTGGTATTTAATGAAATTGTTACTTTGTAATTAGACGTTCCAAAATATAAATATGCATACTTTGTAACTGGACGGAGGGAGTATTATTTATAATATTTTCATGTACTGATTAGAAATCAGTCTGACGTGATAAATTGTCAATCAATACCTAAACAAAACGAAGATATTATTGTACAAATGGATATGGTAGCTTTGTTAAATGGAAACAACACAATGATAGAACAAAAATCTTCGACGGAGTTTATTACTCCCTCCGTTCCGGCTAATTTGTCCACATTAGTTGGGGTACGAAGTATTAGGTATTGTGTAATTAGTAAGTAATTAAGAAATATATTAGTAAAATTATTTATGATTTAATAAAAATAATTTTAAATTAAGATTAAGATGACTAAGTAGTTACTTAAAATTATAAAAAAAAAAAAAAATTATAATTATGAATTTTAAAATGCGATTAAAGTGTATAATTATATTTTTTTAAAAAAAATGACAAATTATATGAGACGAATCAAAATAAAAATAATGAACAATTTATGTGGAATAAAGGAAATACTAGTTTTGAAAGATGCAGATTGAATATAACCTATTTAAGAAAATATATGTTGAATGTTCATATATATGTTTTGAAAGTTTTTAAAATAAATACATAAATACAAATCAAAGAATAATACATAAAACAATTTTGGATGTGTATGATTATCATTTCAATTTTAGTTGGCACTATACTTTTAATTTAAGAAAATATTATATAATATATGATTTATGCCAAATTTTTTATGTTTATCTCTCTTCAATAAATATATATTTCAGCCGTCACACAATAAAAGTTATATTTTCTATGTTGGTTGTCCATTTTTAAGAGTAAATTTTCTTTACTTAATAATACCTACCTCAATACCCATTCCACATACCTTTAAAATTATACTTATTTAAACAAATATCATTTCATTAAAAATAAAGTCACTACTTACAAGAATAAATCTATCATTTAATTCAAAATATCACCGATTATTGTTAAAATACAATATTTCTTAATATCTGGTCCAAAATCAAGTGCAACTTTTCTCTTTTTTTTTTTTTATAAATAATTATATTAATTATAAATAAATATTTTTTTTATTTATTTTTAATATATAAAATATTATTCTATGTACAATAATATTCATATTGTATATAAACTTTTAAAATATATTTTTTTAAACATTTTAACACATACTTCTAATTTTTATTTTTTATTTTTTATCATATATATTGAATCACAAATCAAATAGTAATAAATAAATAAATCACATCCAACCAACTT